CTTAAGCACATTTGGTTCTGTGTAAAAATGTTTTCTAAAAAAAAATTTTATATAAAAAAATTATCTCATGCGGTCAAATATGACAATATTTTTATATCAATTGGTCTTCGTGCATCATTTCACACCAATTGACAACTAATTGATGTAAAAATATCCATACACTTGACCACATTAGATAAATTTTTTATGTGAAATTGTTTTATATAAAACATTTTCACACAAACCAAACATGCCTTTACTCTATGAGGAAAGAGCAACTTAACGGCATCTTTTGGATGATAAATTTTGAAATCTACTTTAGAATTGCAATGCGAGTAGTTTCAAAAAGTATATCTTAGTGAGACGCACCTAATAAAAATATAAAATAAAAATAATTCGGGAAAAATAAATTGATTAAAATACCTCCAAAATTTTTTTGGGGTATTTTGGTCAATTATTTTAATGTAAAATAATTTTTTGATAATTTTCGTAGATTCTTTTATGTTTGATGAACACACGCTCAAAATTTCAAGTCATTATGATTTGTAGAAAAAAAAACGAAAAATGAAACACTACTAGACAATCGTGACCGTGTGATAAACTTTGGACGGTAATGAGAGTAGGCGAAATCACTGTTCATTTTCGCCTATAGGCGTTTTGTAGTATCTTATATATATATATATATATATATATATATGTCAATGAGATTATTATACAAAGAGGTCACACTTATTATTAACCATTGAATGTGAAATTAGGTAGTTGAGAATGCGCCTTTAATTGGGCACAATATCCAAAATAAAATTTTTTGAATATTGTGGCGCAATATCAAAGATGATCATATTATGATTTTCAATATCTAATCCACTTAGAGATTCATTATTATTCAATCGCAAATATCTTATTTTCAATATCAGAATATACGGAATAGCTGTCACCATTCGTATCCTTAAGCTTAAAAGTGTTATCATAAATCAAACTCCAAATGTCCGTGATATCGAATATAAGAGTAGGGCCTCCACCTGCACTAATATTTTCAATAAGACCAAGACTGTCCATTGATTTACTTAGTTCACACTTGTGCTCTAACTCTTCATTAGACAACATCGAATTGAATCCACTTTTTTCCATAGAGCCTTCCTGCATACTGTTTGGAAATACAATAGATGAATAGTCATTTGATAAATCGTCAAATTTATTGGATCTCACATCCAATGACTAGAGATGATTGTGACCTCCTTGTGTATATAAAAAAAGAAAAAAGGTCTCAATAGAATATGATGCCATACAAGAATTAGACAGTTTTTGCCTAATCTCATAACTTGTTTGGATGTATTTGTTATCACTAATAATTTGTAATTTCAATAAAATTAATCATTTGTAATGAATTATATGCTGTTTAATAGTTTCCCTCGTAAAATTATCTAAAGATAAACGTATTAGCAATTTTAAATATGGGTTTCTTTCTAAAAACAAGTTTTTACTTTATTCAAAATATTTTGTCAAAAGCTTATATATATTTAGACAAAAAAAACTAAAAATAGCTAAAACTCAACAAAAAAGTGTTGGATAATTAAAATAATGCTATGTATAATACAAGGCAAGAAACAAATAATAAATAAATAATTTATACAAAGTATATTAATTTAAAATGAGATAGTCTACTTCTGATAAGATCATCTATCATGTAAACAAACCTTTAGATTATGATATTTTTTTTTTTTTCTTTTTTTTTTTATGGCGATGGTGGTGGTTCGGTAGGTTCGTTGAGAAGATTATCTCCCAATTTTTTAAAGAAGACTACCGGATAAGGCTTTATTTGAAAACCCTAAAGAGTGAATGGACATATTTTCATGAGCCCCATACTATATATAGAAGGGGGCAGTTGGCATATGGCTGCATTCGTAGGTGTAGAGATAAGGTGCACATTCAAATTTTATCATGATATTTAATTTTGATGTAAAATGTTATTAGGATTATTTCAAAATCTATTTTTATATCTACTTATAAAATTTTAAATTTAAAAAATGGTTAAAATCAAGTAGATCTATAAACATATGAAAATCTTGAAAATGGACGTTGTAGATAATATATTGTAAAATGCACTATTTTTTAGACTTAAATCCTTTTATTTTTCATAGTCATATATCTCGATGTCGAGATGATCAATCAAAGGGTTTCTCAACATTAAAACTACCTTTTCTGATGGATTTTTGAGGTGCATCCGTAGTTCTATATTATAAGGTTGCATCCTTATATAAACATTTTCCTATATAGAATAGCACCCCTCTGAACTCTTAATGATCATTGTTTGAAATGGACTTAGGCCCTAATTTTTAAAGAATATATAATCTCTAACATGGATATCACTAAAGTGTAAAAATTTAATTTTTAAAAACTTAAAATGATAATATTTGAAAAAAATATTTAGAATTTTTTTTGTTTTGAGGTCCACTATTACATCCATCTTTGGAATAGATGGTTTATGCCTCGGAGGAAATGTTCCC